TGCCACACGGTGGTGCAAAATGCACATAGATGCAAAAGGGTGAAGCGATGAGATCCTGTACAAGCTTCACATGGTCCGGTTTCAGCAGATCATACCGAATTATTGGGCTCCTAAGATGATCAGGCAACTTTAAATCGACACCAAAACTGTCTCGAAGGCCTAAGGATCTTAATGCTGCGGTGAGTTTACCGGAGCCAGCGAAAATTTCGATGCAGAAAAATTGCTCGAGTGAACGGCCCTGTTGGGTAGGAGCTGCATTGCTTCGAATGTCAGGTGGATCCTGGTGCAAAATCGGACCGTTCACTTGGGTTTGTCACTGATGGTTTTGGAGACTGTGCGGTTGCTCACAGTTCGGCTCTGCACATAGATGCAGCCCTCGAGCACACTTGCTGCCTGGTTTTGCGTCTTGGCACCCCTGGGGGAGATTAAAGGCCCAGCACAGGCGCTCATTTGCTTTGGTGTGCAAGCACTTACCTATGAGCCCACGTGGAATGTTCGGGCCACGTCCCCTTTTGGATTTACCACGCTTACCCTTTCCTTTTCCTTTGGTAGGTGGTGATGTATTTCCCTTTGGAGGTGTGCGAGATCTGGTGCGCTTCGGTGTTGCTGCCGCTTTCGGCTGAACTGGTTTGTCAACGGTGCTCCTCAGAGGCAATGGCAGGAGATGGAACGTCACAGACGGGTGAGCCAAAACTTTTGCGATCTCACTCTCTAAAGGCAGGTTGCCTTGCTGATCACGTTTCAAGGTGCTGAGCTTCTCTGCCATAAGCAACCAGGCTGCTCGGTCTGCACGGAGGATCTGGGTCAAAGTGACCGCTGAGTATCCAGGTGGTGGAACCATGTGCAGATGATCGAAGAGCTCTGCGTGGAATGCATTCATGACATGGTAATTGCATCCCTGAACTAAATCGAAGGCGAGAGCACGTCGCCTCATGGCATTCGTTGTCTCCAGTTCCGTTGCTGTTGAACAGGTGATGTCCTGGGACTTGTCTCGTACGACCAGCGCACTTTGGTCTATTGAGATCTCCTTGGTGGCTTTCTTGAGGGCTAACTCATTTCTGCGGGTGGCGAACTTCTCAGGAGCTAAGTACACGAGTGAGTCTTTTTCTAGCATTCCCAGGACCAAGTCATAGCTTTGAAACGCACACTCTTCCTCACCTTTAAGACGGAGACCTTCAAGTCTGGTTCTCTGCTCCTTGACTCGGTTCTCTCGTTCTGCAGGAGCCAACTTCGTTTTTGTTTGATCCTCCGTCTTGTGAACCTTGTTCTGAAGCTCTGCTGAAAGAAGCGTCTGCGCCTCAAATATGAGTCTTTTCATCGATGCGTAAGTTCCCGGATTCAGAGTGACAAGTCCATTGAAGAGCCCATCGATCTGTTCATTGGTTGGAGCTTCCCCCGGAGGGCATGCAGCGAAGGCCAGGCGGGCCAATGAATCTACTCGATTTGTAATGAGGGCTTCGATCTCTTCCACTGTCAGGCTCACCTCAAGGCCCCTGGATTTTAGAGCCTCTTTCGACTCCAACAAGGTGCTCATGTCAGCGAGGAGGGCGAGAAGATCAAAGCTCTTACTTCTAAGGAAGTGTTGCTTGTCAATGTGTTCTATAAGTGAAGCTAAGAAATGGACATTGTTCTGTTCCACTACCTGACCTAGTGCCGATCTTGTGATGCCTTGTTTCTTTGATTGTCACTTGACAAATCTTTTTTTTCTGAGCCACGCACGTGCATGACATTCAAATTAAGCTCGGCACGTGTGAGTTCAGTGACTGCATCTACAGATCATGGCACTTGCCATGCACGTTTGCACCCGACTGAAATCACTGGTCACGTGAAACAAAACTCAATCTGTTTAGAAGAGCACTTGCTCCCTCATTCTACTACATATATGAAATGTGAAAACCCCCCATTCTCCATTCAGCGCTCCCTTTTTCACCGTTTCGAAGCGGCCAATACAGAGGCGAGGTGTCCTACCGTGTTGATAGGCTTCCTTAATGCGCATCTTTTGCATTTTCGGATGTCCAGGAAAGGAGACTTATCCACTTGCTCAAAATCCTGGGTGATCTTTACCCCGCAAAGGAGTGAATCCACGCATCCACCTGCAAGCACATGGACAACTTGAGTCCGGAGATTTCTGTACATGATGACGTCCGAGCCCCATGCTTTGGGCGCCATTACAGGGTCTTGCTGGCATCCCGCATCTGGCTCATGGTCAGTGCCTTCTGCTTCATCGGAATCAGAGGATGTTTCACTGGAATGGGATTCCTCATCTGTCTCTGCGGATGCTTTCGGATCGGGTACAGGCTCAACTTGGAAAAAGGATTTTGGATCGGGGACGATTGCTGAATTCAACATTCCGGAGCGTGTCGCATCTGGAGAGAAGGCTTTTGTCCTGATCTGCTGGAGCACCAGCTCAAAATCCCTAAGAGGTTTGGCCAAACTATCCCTAGCATAGCATTCTGCTGAGGTTTTCCCGGTGGAATGATGTCCTAAGATAGCCCGGACGTCTGGATCCAGTCCCCACTTAGCACTCCATGAAAGAGGCGTGGCCTTGAGGGTGTGAATTGTGGTAAAAGCTGAGCCACCTTCTAGCTTTTTAAGCAAGTTCCTAATCCACTGCCCTGCCTCCTTAGTCGTGACTGATCTTGAGGACCATCCCCCTGTCATGTTAGGGGCTGCAAGCAAAGGCTCATGATCAAAGTTTTCCAGTTGCCTGCCAGCCAATTGGACGACCTTCAAAAACATCAAACCCCACGGTGGCGACGTGACTCCCCAAACAGGAGCGACCAATGGCATTGCGAGGCCACCTTTTGCCACTAGCCTTGATGTCTTATGAGACCTTGTCTTGCACTCAAGGTATCCGGATATCTTGCCTTCCTTTTCATCTATGTCTGCATAAAAACTATAGATTTTTCGGATGTCTGACCACCTGCTCCTGCTATAGAGGCAAAACAGCATGCATCCACTGGCAAAACGATCGGTGAGGGTGCACCTCTCATCCGCAAGGTATAGTTCCAGGTGTTCGACCTCCTTGACGGTCAAAACTCTGGCTTGACTCTTCTCCTTGCGCATGGCGTCACTGGCTTCAATCATTCTGTGGATCTTGGCTGAGATGAGGTTTTCTGTATCAAAACTCACATCGATGCCAACTACATGCTTGCAGAAATTCGATGCTTCCACAAACCCTCTGATGAAAGAGGCTGGTTTGCCTTTGTCCCGCATTTCTTGCAGATATTCTTCGACAAGTTCTCTGGATACTGGAAAAGGGCACAGTGCAAAATACCGTGTCTTGTACCACCTAGTGAATTGCAGTATACTTGAACCTCGTCTAAGAATGGTCCCATGACTTCTATTCCCAAAAACGAGTTGCATATCATCTAGTCGGTGGTCGCGCACAGCAGCACGAAGATCAAACCCCTTGGGCCATGACTCTGGACCCGTCGAGAAAATCATATACCACTTTTCAAGTGCCTTTGTCATGGCTGACTCCTCCAGATCTCTCTCGGACAGATCTATGTTCCTGAAGTTGATGACATCACTATAAGCTCCTCTCACGGTCTTACCCTGTACAGGATGGGCCGACGAAGATGTCTGGTTTCCTAAAGCATCAAAATCGATAGGTCCCATGACAGGGTTTGGAATGAGATTCACTGGATCTTTGTTGAAGATGCGTGCCAACCCCTTACGTTCCCAAGGCATTTTGAACTTGAACGTAGGCGGGGTCCTAAGACATGAATCTGTTACCATGGACCTCAGGTTCCTGACACTAGCATCGTCAAGGTGGGACGCTTTCCGGCTAGATAGTACCACTGGTTGTGGGGGAAGATCTTGGTAACCATCCCATTGTGGGCTATCCCTCTCATGTCCAAAAAGACTTCCTACTTCTGATTCTGCGACGTCAACTGCTTCGGATGCATCGAGACCTTCTGGCAGCGGCAACTGTACAGTTTGAGAATTGACGGATGCTGACTCGGATCGGTCGTCCGAATCATTGGGGCGTTTCAGCCCCCTTCTCATACTCCTACAGGTCGGATGCTCGGATGCTCACGGGGCCCGTGCATGTGGGGTCACGCGGCCAGACGTCAAGTCTCACCTGGAAAGGGCACTCAGCAAAGGGCAATATCAATGCAAATGATTACTGTATCTCACTTTGACGACTGTGCTACATTCCCCTACTGCCTTCTGACAAATCTGCACCTTAAACTCCTATGCATTGCCATTGCTGGAACGATCTGAGTGTTGAACCGCTGATGGAGGTCCGCCACGCCCTGTGCCACTTCGGCAAAGGACCAAAATTACCCACTTGAGTATGAGATGCAGGTCGCACTTGCAGACCTCTTATCATCAAGATGAAAATCAAAAGCTTCATTTCTAGTTGCACTCGCAACTTGCGACCCCACCTGTCAATCGGAGGGTCTCGTTTCACGACCTGATGATACCGACAAGATCTTTGTGTTATATCAAATCTGGGCATGCATGCATACATGGCCTACTCTACATTCTGTTTCTGAGACAACACAATTCTGAGTCGGAAACTTTTGCACTTCCGCACCTATACCTTGGAGCGTCACTCGACCGCTTGATAGCGACTTGATAATGTGACATGTCATGTTATGGACACTTCTCCATAAGAAAATTAACTGTCACATGACAGCTGACTTCAAAGGATCGGACTCACAAGGCGCCACGTGATCCTTCGCCCCTCTGAACAAAACTTCGCTCACTTGAGCCTTCAAGAATATAAACAATGTGGCACAACTCAACTTGCGGGTCACTTGACTCCACTCACTTCTGCCAACTTTCTTGTGAAATGTGAAAGATTGTTCTCATGACATGTTGAGGTAACTTGACTTTATGTGGACACTCCAGTGCGCTAAAACCCCCGGATAGAAACTGGAGAATTTTTCACACATCCGAGCAGGCAATGCCCAAAAGCTCTGTGGCTGTAGAGGGTATGATACCCAAATTGAAATGTCAAAAACTCGATGGGCTGGAGGACAACGATGTCATTCGCCATGATCAGCGGCGTCGGGAGCTTCATGTGGGTCACCTTGAATATGTGGAGGAGCCACCAAACCGATCAATGGGGCCAATTCCTCGTAATTGGCCGCAAGATTCTCAAGGGCTTGGCCAAATGTACGGCGCAGCATGCGCACCTCAGTTTGAAGCACCGAGACGTCATCGCGCAATCGGCGAAGAGTGCGATGCATTCGGCCAAGCACTTCGACAGTTTCTGTCGGTGGCAGGCAGTGAACTTCCACATAGGTGAGAATGCGATTTGCTGGGTGTCCTCCGCCGAGGTTGATGAGGTAGTTCCGGTTGCTGGCAAAATGTCTCATAGACAAAAAGAGCTCACGGTCACACACCAGCATATGAAGCCTGAAATTGTCGGCTAGGGTCGTGTCCCAGGGGATCCAACGAGCTTCCGCCGACTCCAAGGCCGGACACAGGTACGTTTGTACCGATGTCTGCATCGGCAGCACGTAGTGATTTAAATCACATTCAGTCTGGCCGAGGCCGAGGAATGGCAGCAGGGAGTCGACGGTATACTCCGGGTCTTCGGGTTCCCGAGAGGTATAAGCTCTCATGGTGAACTGATCCGCGGGGAGCACGATCGTCGTCATTCTGAAATGAGCCACAAGCACAAAAGGATCCCACTGAAAACGCCGCTGCAAAATCCAGCGAAAAACCAGAAGGTTGAACTCAAAGCCTCTGGAACTGGACGGAGTTGCACACACGAAGTAAAGGCCTTACGCCCTTTCAGTTCGGCCGAACGATATCGCATAGGATGCGGCCGGGTGCAACGAAAATTTTGATATGAAAATTGATTTCATTTTGAATTGAAAGTGAACTTCCAAATTAACTTTGAGTTGATGAAATTGAGAACATGCATTTGTGACAAATGAATTGTCAGTAAATGACATGCCAACTCATGAAGTTCACGTTTCGGCACTTGCCGACGACAGTCACACTTGTGACTTAGAACCAAAATGCAACCATGAAATCCGTATCAACATGTTTGCATGCACAACAGGGAAAAACACCGCAGCACTCACTAATGTTCGTATGACATGAATCCCTCACATAAAAATCTATCATGACTTCATCATGAGAGAATTCATATAATACAGTATAGTATAGTGGTGCCTAGCGGAACTCTCGCAATGTATGACATTGTCTGTCATAGTCATAGTCTGCTTTTCTTTCAACACCAATACTATATAATACTACCCAAATACAGCTGCATCAAATGGTGAAAGGTCGGAGATGCCTCTGGGCTCAACAAAGAGGCTATGTATGCTGTATCCTTTCATTGAGCTTCAGATTTGCTTTGCAACGATGCACCTCGCAAAATTGACCTCCGTTGTGTATACAACATCTGCAACGCCGCTGCATTCAACTGATGTATAGAGGCAGCTCATGTTGTATCAAAATGTATCAAATGGAACCTTCCTTGAGCCTAACAGCCTAAACAGCCTAATATCGTCGCCTCCAGATTCTCTTCGGAGTCAGTCATGAGCAACCTTTCCTGTGCCTGTGGCGTTTCCCAGGTCGAGCCCACGATTTGAAAATCTACGGCTTAAGCAGAACAAAGCATTGTCGTGTCATTCGACTGATTCCAGTCTGCTGCTACACGCTACTACAGCAACACTCATATTCTGGCCACAATTTCTAAATTTTATCTCCAGATTTGGGAACGCCTTTGACTCAAAACCAAGATCGGAGCCAAATATGCTCAACTGGCCACAGAACAAACTGAAGATGCTCCATCCTCATCAACAAGGTGGCGGACAGCGCAATGTCGGCACCTCTGAATCATTCTTGGAATCGGTCGTGGGCAACAAGTGCTGTGTAGATGCCTGGGTCGGTCAAGCAAAAGATGCAAGATGATGCAAGTAACGTGGAGACGAAAAGCCAAAACACACGGAATATCGGGCAACTGACTGATCTCGTGGCTTGATGGCGATAGATCAAGCATTGCATCGCAGCCACATTTAAGTTGGATTTGGAATGCAAGACTACAGCATACTACAGCCATTGATAAAACTTGAGAACAGTCGCCACACTGGACTCTTGCATGAACTGTGCAAATGGCCTGGGCAACGCCACCAACTCCGTCATCGAACCACTGACACTCGTCAGACTCCTCAAACTCCTCCAAATCATCTCCCTCTTCAGGCACCTTCGTAACCCATGAGTCTCGCCTGAACCCGGCAGCCATAGAGCACGGAAGAAACGCAGTTCAGAAGGGACGCAGTTGTTATGCTGCAGGAGCCAGCTGCTTGACTCACAATTATGTCACAAATGGTCTTCGAATGTCTTCCAATATGCCGTTGACAAAAATTCGGTGTCTGGTAATTTTCTCACCGAGACATGGTCACAAAGAGTCAGTTTTGATCTTGAAGCCGCCGGCCCAAAGCCTGTTCTTGTCTGCATCAGACTCCTTCTCTGTGAAAGCCTCTGGAAAAAGGTCCTCAGTGGGAAGGATCCCACAGGCAAGGCATGCAATACAGCAGGTTCAAACAATGGTGTGGACATCAGCCGTTGGGGGGCTGGTGTCAAAATATCCAGGATTTTGAAGAGTCGGATTCATTTCACTTTCACTGGCAATCTCGCCCATGACTGTTTGTCTTCATTCAGTCAAAAGGAGAAATGTGTGAGGGCTCAGATGATCTAAAAAAAAGGAATCGACGAAGACTGGAACAAGGATTGAAAGGTCATGATGTTAACTACCTGATAATTCCGCAACTTCCTGAGTTCCACGCTCTTTCAAACATTCGTCGAGGCGTTGAACACCTTGCATTCTGAACATGGTTAAAATGTGAAACACAAAGAATTCTCTGGGACAGGAGTTTCTGAAGCTGGGAGTCTGACGGAGGCACGTTGGTCTCAAAGACTGGAAACTGGCAGTTGCCCGTTTCGCAATCCAGCTGCTCAGCAAGCCGCTGTGCCAGCTGTGCGACAAGCAAAAGTTGAACAGCAGGCTGGATATGCCTCAAAACAAACACGAATAAACCATACCAAATATTCGGCCAAGAAGCATCCATGCTTCCAGCTGGGCATTTACCCACCATGTGCATGGACGCCAATCATGCGCCATTGACATCATGGCGAATGTCTCCGGTTGTGTACAGTAAATTGTTGTAGCTCTTCACAGCCTGATATCCGGTTCCAATCAGGAGGAAAACAAAAGCCCACCTACCCTTTTCAGCTATGTCTTGCAACCGCCTCAAACCACTAGTCACTAGTCAGAGTATGCTGCGGTGAGTTGCAACTGGAGGAAATAGTTCGTTGCGTTTTACAAAATTACACAGTGTAGCTGTGAAATCCGTTTTCAAGCGCAAAGAGCCCGCTGCAGCAGCGCATGGATAATGACTGCGTTGGGATCCTCTGTTTCAATTTTTTCTTGATGTCGAAGACATAAGCAATGAAAAATATTATACTCGGCGAGAAACAACGGACCACGTGCGCTTATAACGGTGAGCACCGAGTGAAAACGTTTTGGTGTTTTGATTTCCTTTGGTTTTGGGTGTGGGAACTCATGGTCCATTCGAAGTGCCTTACTTCCCCATTCATGGGATTTCACGGGGTGATGCTTGAACAGATCTTCGAGTAAAAAAATGTCAACACTGAATCATGTTTTTGCTGTTCCTTCCTTCTTCATTCCCTTGCGTCAAGTTTTTTCCGTGTTTCCGTCATTTTTCTGTTTTCCTTCTCTTTGTCTGCCTGTCTTACTTTCCCCTGTTTGTTCTTCCTGAATTGTTCCTTCTCTTTTCCTTTTTTCTTTCCTTGACTCCTTTCTGCCTTCCTTTTTTCCCTCAGATCTTCCCTGGAAACATTAGCGGTCTTTGGAAAGGTGCTACATAAGTATCGAGCCTCACAAAATAGCCAGGATGTGCAATTCGTGTTTCCCATGAGACAAAACAAGGCAAATATTTCCCTACCCATGGTGACACTTTTGGAAGAATATGAGTCTAGCCTGAAGAGTCTCTATGTTTTGATTATAGTTTGAAACGGCTTGTATCACCTTGATACCCACATAAAAGCATATAATGTTTTGTCACAATATCTGCCTTGACTGCTGTCACAAACCAATTGAGCAGTCTGCTAGCCTGCACAAATGAGAAAACACATTTGTACGAGTGTTCTGAAGTAAATTTGGCCCAAACCCGAAATTCACTGAACTGTTTCTGCAGCATTTTTTCCGCCTGGCACACCAGCACAACCCAAAATGAAGGGGAAAAAGTGCTAAATATGGCCGAAGCGTTCAGATCACTTCATGGCAAACAAAAATTCCACCGATAGTGTGCAGTTGTGGTTGTTTCATTTTTTTGGGGGGTTGGCAATCTCAGTTTGTACATCTGATTTACCTCTGTTAAAATTTCCGGCATAAAACTCTGGCGTCATGATTGATATTGAATAGGTAAAATTGTGACGGAAGTGGAGAACATCAAAATCTTGGCAGGAGTTGCCTCACCCTCCCTAAAACCTTTGGCATCGCCGTCGCTCTTCTGAGACACCCATCCACAAAAATCCGAGGCAAACTGAACAAATCAATCCCATGAGGAATACAGTCGTCTACGCCGTTTTTGATTCCAAAAAAACAACCTCAGTAATTCTAGGAAATATCCGACTCAAATTGTTCGGCCTCAAAATTTTGAAAGTCTGTGGGAATGAAAATTCCAACCAACAACACATTCGCAACGAAAGGTTATAAAATTGGAAGACTCACACACTGACAGCTCCAAATCTCCACTCAGCTCCTTGACGTGGAACAAATCTGATTGGCGTTCCAAGAACGTCATAAGCGTGTGCAGCAGGTTCTTGCGGAAATGTTCAAACACAATTTGCATCTGTGATGTTGAGTCCGATTTCAAAACATCAGTACTGAACACGCCTCAATCCCCTTGTGTTTTTGAGCCGTTCACAGTACTGCTTCCGTTGCTTCAACTTTCATAACTATAAATGAACATACAAAACATGGTTCTTGCAGCAGCAGGGTTCAATCGCGCATATTTTGATCGTGGTGCAATCAGATCTGTGAGTTTGTACTTATTTAGTCCTAATGGAATAACCGTGGGGGTCCCTCAACTATATACAAAGCAACCATATATATAACTTATAAAGTAAGTATATATATATACAGTTGCCAAAAAATACGCGACGTGAACCCTTCTCTACAATTGGTCGTTCACCTCCTCATGTAGGCCACATACAATCCCCATATATCCATCCTCATTTTTTCTTTTCCTTCAAAACTTTCTCTCCATCCAAAAGTTTACAAATTGCCTTCACCGAAGTCAAACGGAAAACATGCACTGACACATGACACTTTTCAAAAGAACAACCGCTGTGGCTGCCGCAATCCTTTTTCTGCAAGCAACGGGGGAAATCCTTCAAAGTCTGTTGCCGTCATCGCACGGCAGGGTTAGGCTTCGTGAAGTCGGGGCTGCTGCACCGCTACCCCCGTATGAGGGGAAACCTCAGTCCGGTTATCGGAACACCGTTCCAGAGATTGTCCCGAGCGGCCCAGGTGATGGCCAGCAGCGAGGTGTGGGCTGCATCAATCAAAATTTCCAAAAATTTCGACTTTCATCCAGTTGGACCGATGTACCATAAGTCACAACCACAAATGGTGTGTGGAACAAGGTCGGCTCCTACCGACATTGGAGGACCGTGAGTCCTTTACAGTCCCGTATGAGAGTCCTCCATGGTATCCTGGCTGGGGTCAAACATGACCAGACAAGAACTACGTTGGGCGGTGGGTGGGTGAAATTTCCCACGCAGGTTTGAACCAAACTGCCCGAAATAAAAACAGTTGTCAGAAACCCATGTGTTTAACTTGAACAACTGACATTTTCACAGGAGAGGAGGAAATCAAATAAAGGGAGGAGAGGAGGACAGTGCAAACGACCCATAAATTGTAGTTCATGTTGTTCACATCGCCAAAAGAGTTTGACCCCCACTAAGACTTTTGCCAAACAAAAGTCTTTTATTCCAACGGCCAAATAAGGTTACCATCTTTGTTCCAAAGAGTGATAACTTATTTAGTCCTAATGGAATAACCGTGGGGGTCCCTCAACTATATACAAAGCAACCATATATATAACTTATAAAGTAAGTATATATATATATATATACAGTTGCCAAAAAATACGCGACGTGAACCCTTCTCTACAATTGGTCGTTCACCTCCTCATGTAGGCCACATACAATCCCCATATATCCATCCTCATTTTTTCTTTTCCTTCAAAACTTTCTCTCCATCCAAAAGTTTACAAATTGCCTTCACCGAAGTCAAACGGAAAACATGCACTGACACATGACACTTTTCAAAAGAACAACCGCTGTGGCTGCCGCAATCCTTTTTCTGCAAGCAACGGGGGAAATCCTTCAAAGTCTGTTGCCGTCATCTCCCCCATTTCAGGAAACCCAGCAGACTATGATTTCCCTGATAGCTTGCCAGCTGATTGCCACTTTTCAAAGCACCCCGATCTCTCATCAAAGAGTCTTCGAGGCGACTAAGTGCACCCGCTATGTTCGATGCGCTTGGCACACGAGAAAACCAAGACTTAGTCTGCAGTTCCATCCCGTGCCTGGTGGAATCCTGGACCATTCCATCAGCGACCCTCGTCGCTCCATAGGCTTTCAAGAAAGAATAACTTACCAGCCTCGTTATCCAAGTACCAACAAACCTGCGCATGCTCGCAAGTGGCTCCCCATGGAGCAGGCTACCAGGATCGGCTTCACCTCGAGGACATACCAGAGCTCCTCCGATTCTGCCAGTTCTGGCACCGTCAGGGCCCTCGAGGCACCATCCGTAAAGACGACCCAAGACAAAGGGCAGGTCGGAGTCAGCATCAAAGGAGGCGCTTTGAGCACCCTATCTCTCAAGAGACAACGGTCCCTGATTTCACGTGGTCGCCAGACAATCTGTTTCAACTCCTGCAACGACAAATCACCCAAAGTTTTCGCAGCTCCATTGGCAACACGGCCAAAAGCAAAAGGTTCAAACCAGTGCAAACGGCCCTAGGTGACACCGCCTGTTTCGCGGTAACACATGAAGCTCTAAGGATATAATCTATCACGGCGCCAATCTATTTCCCGCCTGTCTGAGTGTGTCCAATCCGGGCTTCCGCCCTGCAGGAGCCTCTCAAGTCAAGCTCTACCCCCAAACTCATGGACTGCTTGAAAAACCTGGTGCTTCGCTCCCTTCACGGGCTACCTCGACTCCAAGCAAGCCAACTAAATTGTCAACCGTCTTTGACGTGTTGCTGATAAGCATTTCTCTGCAAAACTGTATAGTCGTCAAAGTACGCTGTTCATGCCAAAACGAAACATCACCAAGCCAACGTACCAGACTGCCAAACTGATGCGGAGAAACCTCCTACTGACTGCCAGACGCACCAGTCTGCTGTCGGCTTCTGCAATGCCGTATTGCTTATAAGCCTACTTCATATCGGACGTCCTCCCGGACATGCCTTCCAGTACAACTCCCTTCTGAAGAAACTGTGAACTCCCTGTCCGAAAAGCAGCTGTCCCATCTATTGCATGCATCTGGTAATTTTCGACCACACCCAAGGCTCCATTGACTCCTCCAACGAGCAGTCATCAATGACCCGCAGCTTACCGGCCCTCTGCAATAGTTCAAACCTTTTTTGCCCAGAATACCTGCAAGTGCTCAGGCATATTCCGCTTGAATTGCTGTTCGCCTCACCAAGCTGCTTTGCTCTTACCGCCCACCTTGCCAGCTGTCTGCACCTCACCAAAGCCAGCTCTGCAGGTTCCATCTCCAATTGTCCCTAAGCACCTGAGTTACTACCTCAGGTAAATGTAACGACATGCATCTCGGATGCCCACATTTAACTGCTCTGTTGCAAAAAACCACTGGTGATCTCGGGATTCCAAACTGTGATACAGTCACCACCTGTTCCTCAGAAAAACTTGCAACTGACCTATGAAAAACTGCACCATCAACCCGAACTTTACCCCGCTTATCCAGTCGTTGATGCACCAGCTTTGCACTGTGCACCATAGTTTCGTGCTATCTTTCCGTACGCCCCCATGACAACAGCTGTCA